GACCCATGAATGATTAATGCTGGCATTTGCAGAAGGCACTCATTGCAAGCAGTTGCAAAGTGTCTGGGTCTGTCAGTGGGCAGTGCAACTGCTGCTTGCTGCTGTTCTTAAATGATGCTGTTGAAAGAAAAGATGGTGCTGGACCATCAGCCTCAAGTGTGCCATAGCAGAGCCAGGTACTCGTAACTCTTCCTCTTTGCTGTTTTATTTTAATAGTTGGCTAGGAGTCTCCAAAGTACAGATGTTTCTCTAAAAAAGCTGTGTTTTGTGAGTGTGAATGTGACATTTAATGTGGCATAAGGAAGGGCCTGGCCCAATGTATGTCATGGTCTTGGACACTCAGTACACTGAGGTACTAAGTGAGGGGTTTTGCAGTCTTCTTTTTAGGTCTTTTTTTTTCCCCAGTGCTCTAGCTTCTCATTAGATGGTGCCCCAATCTCACTAGCCTGGGTTAGCTTATTCAGAATTGACCAAGAGCTCTGTTTTAATTTTTTTTAATTATAATCCACCTACTCACATACCCTCAGTAAAATCTTCTTGAATTAATTACTGTGGCATACAACTTGTTCTTTCTGTCTGTGCCTCTGTTCCATTGTTAATCTATGCCAAGAGTGCTCACTTTGCATATCTAACAGATAATTAGAGGTTCCAGTTGGACAGATCAGCTTCTCTGATTCCTCCTGCCTCTCACACCAGTCTGGGAACATTCCCCATTTTCTGCTCGATATCACACCTCTCATATTTCAGGCTATACCTGTTCCATCTTTTCCCATACATCCTTGATCTGTCAGTCCCTCTTTCCACTGACCATTCCTAGTCTGGGAGAGGGAAGAGGTTGGAAGCACAGGGAGGGAGGTTGTGGGGTGCCACAGAGCTGCTCAACCTGTACCTGGCCAACCTGGAGGACACAACTGTGCACCGAGGGCTGAGTGGGGAGGAAATGCTTCCCTGGGAGTACACAAGTGGGCCAAGCAGCCCAGCTGTACTTCCCACTTGTGTGCTTGTGTGCTTCCCACTTGTGGGCTGCCTGACTGTCACCCTTCTACTGCTGTGGCAGCAAACCCTTCTCTGCCCAAGCCAGGCAGACTTCACCTCCTGATGTCCTACCTAGGAGCAATCCCTTTGGACCATGGATTGCTCACCACCCTGACATCAGCCCTGGGCTGGAGCCGTGTGTTTGTGTTCCTGCCTTGCAGCTGCTGGCCCTTGTGCCCTCGGGTGGCTGGCAGTGGAACAAATTATGGGTTTGCAGCCAGCTTAGCATGGAAAATGGGATGTTCTTCCTGTAAAGGTAGGGAGGAGCCAAAGAGCACAGCAGGTGACAGGAGGGACTCTGTCTCACAGAGGGAGTAAATCCTGTCAAAGACTCATTTCAGACTCGGGGTCTGCAGGCATAGATCAGCAGGAAGTTACTGGATATCAGCAGGCAGAAGGCTTCTTTCCCTGGAATGAGCATCTGTGGAGGATGTGCTGAGCTCAGCCGTGCTGGGTGTCTGGTGCAGTGTGAAGTGAGTGCTAATGGGACAAGGACAGGGCTGGCCTGGGCACAGCTGCCAGTGTGACAATGTCATCTCCTCCTCTGAGGCAGAGTTGTCACCTCTTCATTGGGCTGCCAACCTCTCCAGTGACAACTTGCAAATGTTTCACATTTTGATTGTGAAGGCACAGGCAAAAATATTTCAACTGGGGTTTTGTTTGTCTTTAATCTGGAGGTTTTGCCTTTTCCAAAATAACCAACGTCCAGGCAATTACTCAGTTGTATTGCAGCATATTTTATGTATATTGTTTCAGCAACTGTTTTTATATTTTTGCCATATTTCAACCTCTCTTATTCCTCAGTACATCTAATTAGACCACAATAACTTCTGCAATGTTTTCCTTTAGAGCTCAGTTTCAGACACTAGAGATTTCAGACTTCAGGTTTGTTTAGGGCTTTTTTCCCTAATATTGTTGCATTTAAATATCCTTTTTCATCTCTTACATGTTTCTGGATTTGAAAACATACTAGAAATAAAAAAAAAACATTAATTTTGTCTGTGTGTTGTGTGTCTTCTGAAAAATTCTGTCTTAGTGATGAGTGTGACAATAATGTGTTGGATACTTAAGTCTTTTGAACAAATTCGAAGCACAACAAATTGCCATTCTTTAGGACTTGCTAAAATCACTTCATAGTTTCAAAATCTCAGTGGTCTTTTGAGATGGATCTGTGAAGCAGGGAACAAGAACAGCAGTTATTTCAGCCAGTTATCCTCCTGCATTTATTATTGTTTGCTTAGTTTCATTATTTCTCTCCTGACTAATCATACTTCCTAAAAGTGTGATGTTAATACTTTTTAATCACAATATCCATAATACCATTATTGTATTCAAAATAGACAGAATTTCTCTATTTCCTCTTATTATTTTCATTGACAGAGTTTTAATGCCCTTTTCTCACCAGAATGGAAAACAGTAAAATTTTGAGTCTCAGAATGGAAGTGTCTAGAAGATGCTGCCTTTTGAAGGAATGCCCGTTTAGACAAAAATGTGCTAAAAATGCAATTGGGGTTGTAAACATCAATTGGGCAGACTCAGAAGCCCGGTAGAGTTCACAGACTTGGAATGGGTGGTGAAGCAAAGGGAAAATGAGCATCCAAACAAGGATGACTTGCTTTCAGCATAACTGGTAGAAGTTCTCATTAATTTAAATATGAGAGTGAGTACAAGCTGATCAGGTTTTCTAGCAGAAAATGACAATTTATTTTGGAAAAAACCCAAATTACATCTTAAGACTTTTTTAGACCGTATGTTTTTGTCAAGAAAGAAAGGACAGAAAGGTTTAAAGAAAAGAGAGTTTATCAGAACGTTGTAGTTACTAGAGTAAAGGGTTGGAAATGTAGCATTGAGCATCTGCATCTCTCTACTTTAAGTCATATCAAAAAGTGAGGATAGGCCCAGGTATTCCCACAGGGTCTCCCCTCTCAGGCAGTGTTTCTGAACTATGCATGGAAGGCAAACCAGAAAATACTTGTGTTTCTGAGGGTGCCAGCAGATGGGCTGCTACAGGCAGTTTAGAGTAGTTTGAGATGCTGCTGTGGAAACCCAGGGCACTGGGAATATTCCTCTGTCTGTTCTGAGGTGCCCTGGCCCCCAGGGGAGCACTGGCTTTGGCCCTCATTCATGGAGAAAGTTTCCTGGACTTCAAGATAGACTAGAATCCATAAAAGTGTGAAATAGATTATAGAGAGTAGTGTAGGTGTATCACTTGGTGATAAATTTAGGTTTTGGGATTTTTAGTATTTGTGGATGGAAGCAAGATGGAGGGCACAGGGTGTTGTCCTGCATTTCTTCTTTGTGCTTCTTCTTCCTTCTTCTTCTTTGGTTTGGGTGGCATTTTGTAATTGGGCAGAAAAGTCCTCATTGCAGGCTCTGTGGGATCAGTTATTGGGTTAAAAGGGAAAATAATCTAGGTGTCAGTTCTTAATTGGATATTTTAGTCTTAAAAGACCTTGTAACAAGAGACTATTGGCCATTTTGTGCCTTCTAATGAAAAGCTGCTGAACTCACAGTAGTGAGACTGTTTTGCTGATAAGAAATAATAAACACCTGAGTCCAAACATGAACTACTGTCTCAAGTGCCTTCAATCCAGACCCAGATAGCTGCTGCACAGTTGCTATTGACCACCTGCTTTCCACCACTGAGGGTGTTACCTTGTGCTGAAAGCGATCACAAAAGGTTTTAGCTCAGCTGCTGTAGTTTAGTTGACAAGACAGTAAGTTCCAGCCAGTGGGGCTGTACCATCCCAGAGTACTCAGGCTGGAATGTGTCACCGTGATATTTTCTGAAAAATCCCTTTGTCAGGATTTCTTCTACTGGGAAGTTGAGAAGCCTCAGAGAAAAATGTAAATAATAATTATCTGATTTGCTTCTCCTGTGTTTGGCTGCTTTGGAATGTGGTCTGGACATTGTTTACCAACAGGTGCATGTTTGATTGGTTTCATGTGAATTGTTTTTACTTAATGACCAACCATGATCCAGCTGTGTTGGACTCTGAGGAGTCAGTCATAGCTTCCATTATCATTCTTGTCAAGCCTTCTGTCTGTATCCTTCTTTTTCTTTAGTATAGTTTTAGTATAGAATAAAATATAATATAATATAATATAATATAATATAATATAATATAATATAATATAATATAATAATAAATCAGCCTTCTGAAAACATGGAGTCAGATTCTCTTCTCCCACCTCATCCTGGGGACCTCACAAACACCACAGGAATGCAGGAAGACATTTAACTAAGGTATAGGATGTAGAACTATGTTAGGAGTAGTTTAAATAAAGTTGGATTTCTACATTGTGTTGGTGCTCTGTGTTAGCTGTTATCTCCAGCTTGTAAATTTTCTGGTCTGAATCTAAATCCAGTCTATTTGTTTCCACTATGGAAAACTTCCTAGTATCTCTGGTTCTTCACATTTTTGCTGCATTGAAGCATGGCTTGTGAAGATCCATGGTTGAAAATGGAGAAGGTGTGTGTTGAAGGGTGTTACAGGGAACACAAAAGGTAGATCGGACTTACAAAGCCAAAGTTATGGTTCTAAAAACTCTTTGGCTTCAAATTTTGAAGCTTTCTAAAATTTTTTAATGTTTTATGGGATTCTAACAACTTCCTAATTTAACAGGTGCTTTAAACATTTATTCCTCTCTAAGTTTGAAGATTTCATTGTATATTTAAGTACCTGTAAAAGTATGAGAGGATTTACTGTGAAGTGTATGACATTCTCTTCTTTTAAGGTCTGTGTCACTGCAGGGTAGCCTTGTGCTACCCTGGTATGGGCCATTTACCTGTATTTTATAGGTTGGTTGTACTAGTGTCTAGCATGGAGGGTGTGAAAAATATTTGCACAACTATTATTGCAGTTTATTTTATTTTTTTATTTATTTTATTTTTATTAAAATAGCAGAAATTTCCCACCAGGTTTTGGGGTTAATTTCTTTCTGTTAAATTTAATAATTTCTAGGGTGAAGTTGTGGAATTCCTTGATGAGCTGTTAGAAGTGGAGGAAAAGAAGGAATCCTGATGAGTGAAACCACCAGGAAGTACTTTACAGAAAGTGAAGACTCACCATTGCTCCTTACTATTATATTTGATCACCTGTAGTTCCAGTTAGATATACCTCAAAGGTGCTTCTTTGAGCTGCACCTTTTGTCCCAAGATCCACTCCTGAAAGGTCACTTCGTGCTGCACTGACTCTTCTGTGAGCATGGCTTTTCACCTTGCAGAACTGGTGCACATGAGTTTCCCCTTGAGCTTTCTTTCCCTTGCACAAACACAACAGAACTGACCATTTCTGTTTTCTGGGATAACACTAAGGTTCCTCATTTCAGTGCTGTTGTACTGAGTTGTAACAGTACAGCTAAATTCTCAAAAACTTTTGTCAGATTATGAACTATGGAAGACATAACAGTTCCTCTTTCTGAGCTATGAATTGTATTATTTATATATGTCTTTTTATGTGATGGTGAATAAAGTGATAATGAATCCCAGTGCACCTGAAAGATATTAAGGTACATTTGAATTGCTGAAATAAGGTGTTTAACAAAGCACAACTAATGATCTTGTAAACATTGCTTAAAGAATTCTGAAAGCAGTGTTGGTCTTTCTGGAAAGCTAAATTAAATTCCACTATGTGAAACTGAGAAGAAAAATATTTTTTCTTCCTACCAGTTTTTACTCTTTCTGTTGAAACAGTCCCTGTTGAGGTGGGGCCAGTCTTGTATGAAATACTGATGATTCGTGAATTTAGTATTGTCTTCTGTAAAAAAATAGCTTGTGTGGTTTTTTCAGCCTGGTGGGACTATCTGCATAGCTTTCATCCAAAGGTAAGTACAGGTGGAAACTGAGGTGATTTTCAGTAGAATACTGAAAAATATTTACATGTGAATTCCTGTCCTTTTTGTTAACTGTACAGCAGAGTCCAATACAGCAGTATTGGTACAGACCAAAAAAGGTGTGATAGAGAAGGGTAATGAATTAGTGCCTAAGTCTACTGAAGAGCAAAAATCCCCTTGAAGGGGATCTGAGAAGGATACAGGATTTCATCCTGTGCTTTCCTCTTTTGTTTTCAAGGATCAAGCCCAGCAAGTGGTTTCATCCTGCTTGCATCAAGGGGAAATGAGCATTCAGCACATATGAGCATCCATTTGAGCATTCACCTGCTATGGTGGAGCTGTAATTCAGCTGAATGAAAATGAATTACAAACCCTTAATCTGCTTTGAGTTTTTAAAAAGGCAAAACATGATCTACATTAGGTTGCCAAGTAGTTGCTCCTATAGTTTATATAAGCTGTAGTAGTCTACACCATTGAGTGTCTATAGGGAATAAGAAGGAGAATCTACAGGATGAGGTTTCAGTGTCCTTCAGCATATGACAGCAATGAAACATTTGAATTTGAGTGTGAAAGGTGTTTGGAAGATCAGATTGGCTTTTTTAACTGCTTCAATATAAATCACAACTAATCCACTGAAGTTGATGGGCAGACTGTTTTAATTTCAAAATGAAAATCCATCCAGAGCCTTTTAACTTTAGGAGATTTGGCCAGCTCAGCTTGTGGTTAGGAGACCTGAATCTGGCTTGCTGTGTGCCTTGAACTGACAGAGGGTTGTATGTGTCATATTTCCTCATGGTTTTGTTCTACACAATATTAGCACTCTGCTCATTGTAATTTTATCTAAGAATTGAAATTTGCTTTTAAAAGTTCTTTACAAGCATTTGATTGTAAACCATCACTTCACCCCATGAAATATCCTGCTGGGGTAGCTTCTCTAATTTATTCTTAGTTTTCTCTTGTTGGAGGTGTGTGTATGCTCAAATGAGAGGTTCCTGCTCTGGAGTCCCCTTTTGTCTTTCTGCCTTCCAGACTGATGGACAACTCCAGATTTTGTCCTCAGGAATTTAGCCAGTGATGAGGGGAGACCTCATTGCAGTCTACAACTTCCCTGTGAGAGGAGGAGGAGGAACAGGCACTGATCTCTGTGGTGACCAGTGACAGGACCTGAGGGAATGGCCTGAAGCTGTGTCAGGGAAGATTAAGGTTGGATATTAGAAACAAGATTCTTCACCCAGAGGGTGGTTGGGCACTGGAACAGGCTCCCCAGGGAAGTGATCACAGCACCAGCCTGACAGAGCTCAAGAAGAGTTTGGACAATGCTCTCAGGCCCATGGTGTGACTCTTGGGGTGTCCTGTGCAGGGCCAGGAGTTGAACCCCATGATCCTTGTGAGTCCCTTGCAGCTTATAATATTGATCCTGGGATTCTGTGACAGCCAATATCTTCATCTTTGATACTCTAGCATTCAAATCCAGAAATCCCACCATTAAAGGGTGTGGAGCTGGTTGGAGATGGATGTATCCATCTACATTTGTCTTACAGCATTTTTAGTTCACTTTTTTGCTATCACCACTTACCAAACTGACTTCAGAGCTCTGCCAAGCTCTGGCTGTTGCCTGGCTGTTTGTTTCTGTGGTGCCCTGTGGTGTCCCAGCTCCTGTGTGCTGTGTCTGTAGTCACTGCAGTGCAAAACCTCAAAGGCTCCAAGAGTGATGGTTGTAATTCAGGTTCCTGAGCCCAAGGTGTCCCATGGCTGTACATCCTGTGTGGAAATTGCACGTGCATAAAGCTCCTAATCAGCTGTTGCCTGTTGGTGGAGCAAGTAGCAGTAGGTACAAGATGAGAGAAAATAAGTTCCAGAACCTTGTTGTTTTGCACCCAGAATTATTTCTCTCCAGTTAAAGAACTCCATTCCCCTTTCTAGTACTAATTGTCTGAGATTCCTGTTATGTTTTTTAAAGAGCAAAGGACATGGTAAAATACTGCCATTTTTTCACTTCACCACTAAAAACTAAGCACCAGAGTTACCTGTTTTGTGATTCATTTGACTTCAACAGATTACAGTGAGAATACATTTGGTTCCTATGAACCCTGATTTTTCCTCTTCACTGAACAGTTTTTCAATGGTTATTGCAAGTCTCTCAGGTATTATCAATTTTCTGGCAAGCTTATGATTTGGTCTTCAAGGCTTCCTTAGCTAATCCTTTCTCAGGTTCACTCATTTCCTCACCTCTTGATCTTGTAGCTGAACTCCCCTCCCATTGTGCCTTCTCAGGTGGGGATTTCATGATTTACTAAGATGTCCATTAGCCAATGATTTATTTTTCTTAACCCTGCTTAAAGGAAGTCTGATGTCCTTTACCATTTGATTTAACTTGAGGAGGCAACTGATACTTTTGCAGCCTGGTGAGATGGCACCATGATCCCATTTTTATTTTGTTCAAGTGTCTGTGGATTTTTTTCTGGCTTTCTTAATTTCCATTTTGTATAGTCCCAAGCCACTTCCATCTTAATAAGTACAAGTAGTTCTCAAACCCTTGTTCTTTTCTAATGAGAAATAGCTCCTCTTCCAGTTCTTCAGTATTTATTGTGGCTTTTTTCAGCATTCTCAGGTTCTTTTAACTGATTTTTCTTTTCCTGCTGCTATTGTTAAGTGCCAACATTTACATGTGACTGTAATAACTTAGTGTCTATTCTTCCACTTCTCTGATCCTGCCAACTCTTCTTGGGAGGCAGTGAGAATATTCCTGCCTCCCTTCTGCCACCCCAAATTCCTGCAGTTGTGAGTTGTCTGCCTCAGATGTTAGCAGCTTCTGCCTAACCAGATGGGATATTTAGCTTTGTGTCCACTTTTGGCAAGGCTTACAGTGTGATGCTGATGCTCATGGGAACATCATCTTGCTGAACACACCGTGTGCATGTGACAGGATTGAATGCAGCACTGGTACTGTGGTGTCTGTCCACCTTGGTGGTAGTATTGCCTGTTGCAGAGCTGTACAGCTACACTTTTTAATAATCACTCACATTTCTAATAACAAAGCTGGCTATCCTGGTAGCTGCTGTTGGCCTCTGGTGCTTTGTCAGTGCTCACAATCAGGTCTGCAATAACTCCATCTCCATGTTCCATCACCACTTAGAGGGGAATGGTGGGTGAAGTCCATCTCCTGGCAGATTCCTAGCACACAGGTCTGCATGCATGGGACTCCTGAGCTTGTGTTCTTGTTGAATGGGGTCCTGCACGGTCAGGAACTGCTTGGAAGCTGAAGATTAAACTGAGTCAGAAACAGTGTCACACTGAGGTGGATATTTGTTTAGGTGAAAAACACAACCACTGGCTGTCAGGACAGTGTTTCTTATGTAAGCACTAAAGCTTGGGTAAGAGAAGACATGCACAGGATGAAAATCAGTGCATTTCACAGACTCTGCTAAGAGTATAATCCTTTTCAAATTAATGCCTACTCTTGCTGATAGCAATTCTTTTTATTACTGGCTCCTTGTGAATTCATCCTCACAAAAGGCAGCATCCATTAAAAAAAAGGAAGAAGGATGGTAGTGATTTTTCTCCTCAAAGCTTAATTTTGCTCCAATAAAAGAGCATTTCAGGCTCCATATTTCTGTGCCTCGGCAATTCCTATTGCCAACAAAATCAACTATGAAAAACAAATACTTTTAGAATGATCAGTTCTGGCAAATTCAAAGGGAATACAAATGTCCTGCTGGGCCCTTTCATTTGCCGTAGCAATCCTGCAAGCAGACCTTCATTACTTCTGTTGACAAGGCATGAGCCAAAAGCAAATTCAAATTGCTCCGTTTTCCAGAGCTTTACTGCTTTGGAATGCTAGAATATAAACCCAAAAGTCAGTCAGTTGCTGTTCTTAATTCACCCAAAGAGCCCATCCAACCAATGAGGTGTCATTTCTCCATGCTTTCCAGACAAACTCTCCCCCTGAAAATCTGATAGCATGTCCTGCTTTTTACAAAGTTCTTTCTCAGTTAGCATCAATACCCACCATTTATCTTCACATCCTTTACAGTGAATTATTGGTCTGCATTGATAATGGAGGCACACTTAGAAAATCTTTCCATTTCAAGAGAGTCTTCATGAAAAATGGTTTAAATAGCATGCAAATTTTACAGCCCTGAAAACTGAGTTGTGATTAGACAAAGATTTGTTGGATTATAAAAGTACAAGTGTTTATTATGGCTGGTACTGAGAATAAACAGTTGCCTGCATATGCCAGCTACTATGGAAATATGTTTTTAAGTTCTAATGTGAGCTGTAAACCAAAGCTACTTCAGTTAAAAAAATTCAATACTTAAACTGTGGGGAGGAGTAGTCAGTGCCAGAGAAAACATTCCCATTTAATAATGTTTGAACATAGAGCTGTGATGCAGTTTGTAGCAAGGCAGTGAGAAAAACCCACAACTAATCCTTCATTGCAGCTGTCTGAACTTTTGGTCGTCTGCCATACTTTAAACAGCGACTTCTTTTTCCTGGTGACTCAAGGCTTGAATGACCTAGTGTGGAGGGTTTAAGCTCTATACAAAAAAGGAGTTAAGTAAGAAATAGCCAAAGTAAGTTGGGTTGCACACCCCAGCAAATCAGGGGTTTGTATCTTAAGTCCTCTTCAGTGCCTAGGAGAAAATATTAAAATAAAGAGATACATTTTGATTTATTTATTTTTGGCAAGGAAATATTCAGTGGTTTAGGCATCCATCTCTCCTCCTTCCCTTCTTCTCTGTCCTTAAAGTACTGATGTTATATGGAAATGAATTTCTGTAGAGAGTTTGAGTTTCGAAGTTTACAAATTTGAACCTTTCCTGCAGAAAAACCTTTCTAAGTTTTCTTTGATTATTTTAAACTTTTTGTTCCCATTGATATATCTCATAGGTAGGTCTTTTCAGCACCCTGAAGTAACAAATGTGCTTTTTTTCCCTGATTAATTCTCTTGCAAAATAATGGAGCTTGCTTACTTTCAAGTGGAAATATGGGAGTCAGAGAAGTCATTTTATATGACTGTTAACTTTAAAGGAAAATAAAAAAGGGCTTTCTGCCTTTGCCCCATTCTCACTATCACTTATCTAAAAAAGGATTAAACACTTAAGTATTATCATGAGCTGGTGGAAACCCTGTAGTTTGACAAGTCCTATGATGGTGTAATAATTTCTTATTAAGGCTAATTTTTAAATGTCATTTAAAGTTACATATTGTGATCTTTCACAGATATGTATTTTATCTTTGTATTATAAGTCTTGACTCCAGTGGGAAAATTCTGATCAGCCTGCTGTAACATGTGGTTTCCCTAGAAGAGAATGATATGTAACTTTTATCACAGAGTAACAGATCAATGGTTGGATGTCACTATCAAAAAAGCACTTCTGGTATTCCACCCATTTTTTTCCTCTCCTAATTTCAACATGCAGCTGGCAGTTTCAGTTTTGATTTCTAATTAATTAATCTCCTACTCTATTTTGACCTTATCACGTTAAGATTTTGTATTCATTGTACAACGTGTATATTGTTTGCCATTCCCATTATCTGTGATTAGCCAAGTTTCACACACAGAAGGAAGTCTAAGTCAAATGTATAATTGAAGAGCTGTTTATCCCCATCTGTTTATTAGTTTTCCCAAACTCCCTGGTAAAGTGAATACTGTGAATACCAACAGATGATGCTGCAAAGGAGGGTAGATGTTCTAAAGCAGAACTGGGCTGGCAGTCTAAGCTAAACACTTTTTAGCTAATATTTTTAATATCAAGGTGTCTTCTACAAGAATTGTGAAAGTAACAGGACTCTTTTCTCCACAAACTTGTGGGCAAACTGGATGATTTGCACAAAAACACATGCACACACTTCCTTTCCTGGTGTTTTTGTAACTTGAGTTTTATTTAAATACCTCCAAAGCATTATGTTAATGTACACTTTCTTCTGGTTCATGAGAAACAAGTGTTTCTAAGTCTCCAATAAGATCCTTGTACAATTTGTGTTTGTAATGATATTTTGAGTCTCATTTTTACACATTCAGTTCCTGGGACAAACAGAATTGACTTTTCATTTAGAATGATGCTACAAGGAACTGTAACACCTACTTGTACCTTTCAGTTAAGCAATATTTTTAATGGATGTTCCTGTGTTTATTTTTCAGCATATTTCCATAGGATTACAGATTATATGTTTTAGTTGAGTTAACAGTCTCCATAAAGTTGCTTGGTGTGAAATCCATTGTTGAGTTTTTCTTTTATGACTGCTTTAAAAAAATAGTTTACAACAGAAATTTTGAGTCATTTCGTAGTGTAGAATGCATTAAAAGCATATAGTCATGCATATGTCAGAGACATATTTACAAATCTGTACAGTTTCTGTCATTTTTATTTACTGTGGCTCTGGCCAGGCAACAAGATTCAACTCTTACCCCTCTGAGGTCAAACTCTCCAAGATAACCCCTAGCCATTGTCCAAAAATGCTTTGTTTTGCTTACCAGCCCTGAGATTGATGGCTGCATGTAAGATGGGCCCAATTCTGCACTCCATTTCATAAAGCCTACCTTCCATGGAGTTAGAGGCGATTACCACTGTGACTCAAGCCAGAGCAGGGAATGAACTCCACCCAGGCACTTTTTCTTACTCTTTGACTAAGGCTGAATGGCAGATGAATTTATTTCTGACCTGCAGATTATTCACAGTTGCCAGACTTCCTCTTGTTCATTCAGAAATGTAAGGAAGACCTCATACTAAACTCACACGAACTATGTTAAGGGATTCTAGAAAACATGTTCCCCTCTCTTCCAGTTTATTTTCAGAACTGTTGGAACTGGAATGTGCTGTTGGAAAAGCCTCAGTGCTTTTCTACCAACACCCAGTCTAAAAGCTGAATGCATTTTATCAACCAGATGCAATTTATTTCTTTCCCAGGTCTGCTTTATCTTTCAAACCACAATAAGCAGTATGCAAAGGGGCTGGCTGCTCATTTCCCAGAGCCAATGTCCACTCCTCCAGCCAATGCAAGAGCAGAATGGTGAAAAATCAGTCCTTCCCCAAGTATTACACATGGCTTCAGTTGCCAGAGGTACTACTGGCTGTGAATTAAAGTTCAGTATCTTGGTCAGTCAACATTGTGTTCAGAAAGCAGCTGATTTTATACAGGATTCCCCTGGAAAGTGCTTTATCAGTGTTTGGCTCTGTGATGAGAGGCTACTCATCATAACACCTGCATTCCAAGGTGCTCTGACTCCTCTCCTGCTCATGCTCAAGGAAGAATGGCACTTACAGTACTCTCTGAATTCCAGGGAAACATCGTCATTTCTACAGGAAGATTAGTTATAAGAATGGCATTTCTTCACTAAGGCTAAAAGAACACCTTCCAGAAAAGTAGCGTAACGATCCAACATTTGTGGCTTGTTAAATTCACAACATTGAAGAATATGACCTTAGTAATCATTGCAATACTATCCATTAAGGTCTGGTAGCAAATAGTTTTTCTTTTTAAGACACATCAGGTAATAATTTGTTATGGTGGTTTATCCTGACCAGCTTGGGCAGGTTCTAAAAAAGGAACAAACACCAAGTGTGTGGTTGCTCCAAAAAATCCTTTTTCCATTCTTCCCTCCTTCTTTTCCTCTTCCACTGAGAACAGACCAGAGGCCTGACCAGCCCTACCATTACATTATACCCAGGTAACACAGAAATTAATCAATTAATTTATTATTAATAGGAGCAAAATGTAAAAGCGGAACAAATTGAAGGTGTACTACTGAGCACACTGTGTCCTGCTGGTGTCTCCAAAAGACCCTTGTGATAAAAATGTACAGATTCTTTAGCTCTGAAAAGTCGAATATGCTAGACTGCAATTTCAAAAGGATGAAATCTTTTCTGTCTTCTATGTTCTTCTAGCATTCTTGTTTTTCTTCTGCTTTCTGCACTGCTGGATTTTAGCATCCATGAGTCAAGTGATTCTTCTAGCATCAGTATGTTTTTTCTTCTGATCTCTGCCTAAAGGCCCCTGGTTAGACTTTCTGCATTTCGATGTGCTGGTGGTGGTAGTGGTGGTAACAGTGATGTCTGGGCTGACACCTTCCATTTAGTTTATAAACAGAATTTTTCTGCTGCCTTTTTTTGAAAAACCACACTGCCAGAACAGCTGCAACCAGTAACAAGCAGAGAAGAATCACTATTACTGCTATGATAGCACCTTTACTGGACTTGGGACAATCCTCTCCCTCACATGGCTCAGAAGTGGGGCCAGGCTTTTCTCCAAGGCCCTGGGTGAGATTTTCTTGCTCAGCTAATTCCTGGGATGCTGTGTCAGTAATGATGTCTGGAGCTGGTGCAGTGGTTGCTACTTGTTCTGGGTAGGTGGTTGTGTCTCTTGGTTCTGCGTATGGAGTGTGATCGGAGGGGCTGAGGGTCACAGAGGTCTCTGACATGGATGTTTTTAAGCTGCTGATGTCAAACAGCATCGTTGTAGTGGGCTCCTGAGTCACAGGTTCCAGAGATGTAGCAGGATGTTCCCACACAGCAGCATCATCATAACCCCTGCTGACACTGAAGCTCTCCAGACCACTCACTGATGTAGGTGGCACCGCTGTCTCTTCAGCCCCTTCATCACCTGCCACTGTTGTTGCTGCCACAATCTGTGTTAGACCTTCCTCTGGAGCTGGGCTGCCATTTCCTGACTTTCTTACTTCCACGTGATTTGGCTGGTCAGTGGTGAGGATGATGTCATCCTCTGTTCCCATTGAACCATCGACTTTATCACCCTCTTCATCATCCTCCACCACCTCTTGTGTTACTGGGTATCCATCTAACCACGACTCGTCAGTGATGGCAACCGCACCCATCGCTGTCTTTGTATCGTTCGTTGTGAGAATGGGTCCAATGGGGAAATCCTCACTGTCATAAAACATTTTGGCACCAGGTTCATCATAGACTGTCTTCACACCAATGTGGTTATCACCTTCAGAAAACTGGGCTTTAGTGGAATCGTCTGTCTCTTTCTCTGGTTCGGGCTCACTGAAAGTTTCTGATGGAAACCAAAACAAATTTTTTTGGCTGAGGAGTGACACAGGGGACTCAGTTGGTGCCCTGCTTCCCTTTTCAGAAATGTCTGTGTGCTGAGTAACCCCACTGGTACTCCCAGTTCTTCCTTCCTCTGAAGTTTTACTGAAGGAAAGCTGTATTTGCTCCTGCTCAATTTCCTCTTTGCCATTGCCATGGTCATTCTCAGCAACAGGTATTGATCTGTCATCGGGAAAGTTATCTTCATAGTCAATGTGTGCCTCGGTTTCATCTAGAAAAATTTAAAAAACCCTCATAAGCCAACATTTCATTCTCTGTCAAAGCACTGAGCTCATTTATTACAAGAATCCAAGAAGAGAGGTGCAATGTGAAGTGTCTTCTAGGCAGTATTTTTCATTCTGTGTAATTGTTTATTTGAAAAGGGCATGGTCCTTGATCTGATACTCAATTTCATGGGTTTTGTTTAAAAAAATCACAAGAGGTGTCAATGCTAACTGCTAATGTCTTACCTTTCCAGATTTAAAAATTAATATAAATAACTCACCATCTCCAGTTAGAGGACTTCCTCTGCTTATTGTTTTCTCAAACCTTTTCTTTCCCTAGTGTGACTCTTGGCAAGATTTGAGGAAAAAAATTTCATCTTATTCAAGCAAGAAATGTGTGTGGAGAGAAAGACATACCAATTATTAACTGGTAATAAAAAAAATGCCCCAGACAAAACTAGAAGTTTTACAGCAACTTCATCCCTTTTGAACTAGATGATTTTAAAGAATTATGTTCAGTACCTTATGCTCAAGATATCAAGGCACATTCTTATCAGTATCCTGCTTTTCTTCAAGCACTTTGGTGTTACAGTGGTACAATGCCTGGGGCCAGAACAGTATTTCTTTGTCCATAAGAGCTCTTCAGAGCTGACTGAGGCAGACTCCACCACCAAGACTGACATTGAGTTCTGCTTGTTTTCATCTGAAGAAAGCAAGATGCACCCTGCAAAGAAATCCCTGTCTCAAACACTTAAACCCTAACACCTAGTTAACATGATATTCCTACTCTTAGTAATCAACTCTTAGGCTTCCAATTTTAAGGAATTAAATGTTGCCACTGGGAAAAGAGAAAAAAATGAACACAGAACAAAATTGGTAAAAAAACTGAGTGCAGCAGTGGGGTAGATTCATTACAATGCTTGAGTTTGATTTAGAAATACTCAACAGACCTACCACTGATAGCAAAATAGACTTGACTCAAAGCACAAAGCTAAATGTTTGAATTTTAATGGAATAGTCCATTGCACTAATACTTCTTCCACTATTCTAAAGCCTTAGCTCAATGAAAAATTTTCCAAACTAGACAGGGTGGTTGATTTTAAGTTCACACAAGTTTTACTCCATAGAAAGTTGATGTAATTTCTGAGATTTATGCTGGCATTAGAAGTCATAAAAAATAGTGTCTTGGGATATGGAAAATAAACTGAATAATGGTGAGAATTTTTCTTTTTAAGAGGGTGTTTAGTCTTTTATGAAGACAGTGAAGAAATAGACCTGGCATGACATGGCAAACAAGGAATTAATAGGAGAACCTGTTTTACACATCACTGCATTTGTAAATCCTTATCTTTTTTTTGCCTTTTTACAGTCAACTGATTTTGAATTACATTTTCATCTGGGGCCCACCTCAATTTCCGCCTGAGTCACATTCTCCTTGGAGACTGCTTCCCAGACTTCTGGCAGAGCCATATTTGGTCTACTCTTCAGAAAGATTAGAAATATAGTCAAACCAGTCTGACCAAAACCACTTAGCAGTGATACAGCTCACACCAGCTCACTTTTTGCCAGAGCAGCTTAAGCCAGGTGCCAAAACAGAATGAGCATTAGCAAAAGGTATTTTCCTTGGAATAGCATCTGGGTCTACCAGAAACCAAAGCAGTTATGCTAAGGAAACCCAAATGTGTGTCCCAGATAGCCTGCAGAGAGTTAATGCCTCTGTGAAAGCTATCATGCTGGAGAGCTGGATGTTCTTAGCAGGTCCTCTCATCTCACAGGAAGTGCCAACAACAGACCTCTCTCCCTCCTGGTCCCAGTGTTCTCATCTGCCTGGGTAATCCTCTAGATCCTCCCCATCCTCTCCAAAGCAGGAAAAAACTTCTGTCTCATTCAAGGATGATTTAACAGTCAGGGGAATAAAACTCTTAGAGTGGAAATCTTCCTGGTAGGGCTCTCACTTTTCTAATTGATCCTAAATCTTTTCCAATAGTATTTCAGACTCACAAATGTATGGAGGATAACTCTGAACACCAGGGCACTTTAGCAGCATATTCATGAAGCTCTGCATGGCCCTATCCATCACAATGCAGCCCTTCTACCGACTGTCAAACATTAGCCTCACTTTGTCCCTTCTCTTGCTTTCACTTTAGAGTTTTTCTGCCTGGCTGGCACTGTCTTTCATGAAAATGGTGCCTCAAACTATTACATCCTCTAATAATCCAGACTCCTGCTAGGAGCTGATATTTGGCATGCCTCCTTCACTAAAGTTCAGTGTGTTTGAGGAGAGCCTATAGGTGTCTGTGGCATGTACATGAACTGGAGCATCACAATGTGAGAAGTCACCATTCACCAACCATCATGGTCATTGTTTTATTTTTGTAATTGAATCATCACAACAGTCTGTCTTCACCTCTGTGTCTCTTGTAACCTCTATTTTTGCCACTCATTCACTTTCCACACTACAGTAATCCAGCTGAGGTTCAAACAGTAATTTTTATGTTGTGGTGAGCAGGCACACACATCTGCAAACAAAAATTACATCCACATGCTTGTGTTGTTTCCTCCAGATCTATTTTTTAGTTAGCAGTGTGAATGGGCATCTAGTATTCATCTCATTGACCAGTACCTTATGTGTGAGTGGATCATTGATGAATGCCTAACAACTGTTGTAACAGGCTTTTTAGAGATTTTGAAGCTCTTTTCCTTCAGTGTTTCTCCTGCCTTGTGGTTTCAGCCCTCTAGGAGAAGGTCCTATGGAGGCACATCAGGAAAAAGCATGTGCTTCTAAGAAAGTGCAAATCCTCAGTCTATCACAACATATTAAAGGTTTGTTGAGCCATCAATCGAGTCTCCATCAAACATGCTGCCTTTTGGGCATGATCCTGCCTGTAGAGAAATGAATTGGTGTTTTCTTAATGCAGAGCTGGGGGAAGAAAAAGCCCATTGTAGTCTAAAGAGATCCTGAGATTGGAGCTCATTATGCACTGCTCGTCACCACATAAGGGAGTCTTGTTCCCTCTCACAATCAGATTGTGGCCCAAGTTGTAAAGCTGCTCTAACATATTTTCATATTCAATCTCCCCTATTTGTAGAGTTTATAGCAGAGACTATCAACATAACTAATGTTAGCTTATGGGATGCCAAAATGAAAGCAACTATTGAGCTCTCTAACCATCAAAGGAAACACGGACGCCTTTACTCTGGAGTTTGATTTATATGATCCTGGATTGACTTACACAGTAATAATACTCTATTCTTTCTTTCTGGGCCTCAGACCTTCAAATGGGACTTGGACTCAGTATTTAGTGACTCTGTGTAACCATGACAATCTTTTAAGTCCACCGTGAGCTTGATTTTCTGGGAATAGATTGCACAACTTCTGCACTTCTTTTTGCTCACCTCCTCAGCACTTTCCTGAACTTTCCAGTTCTCTAAATTTTAGTGTTGGTACTGAAGAGCAACAACCAAACTAGATTCAGCTCCACCTCTTATCCAAGAAATTGTAACTGTTATTTATATATATATATTTAAACTGCTAACAATTGATTTTAAAGTGATTGCACCTTTCTTTCTACCTAGGCAGGTCTGGTTTTATGAAGAGCCAGCCTTGAAATTAATTTATCCAAGATCAAAACCTTTTTATATTTGGTCATTGTTGCACCTTGACCGTATCATCTTTTGGCAGACTCAAGGATCAGTGAGTTTTAATTCACTCTCTGAGGGATTACTGAGTCTGAATACTTTACAGCAAGAGATGCTGAAATGACATACCACCAAAGATGTGAAGCTCAGTTAAAAGGTGAAATCCTTTTAATTATTAATTAATCCTTCTTAGGAAGCATCCAGTTCTGTAGAGCTCCCAACTCCTTCAGTTTTTGATCCTAATGTGAAAACAGTAACCAAACACAGAGACAGGCAAAAACAAAGAGCCTGGTCTTCCACACTCTAGGATCAGTTTAATTTTTCTTCTAGATAGTATATTGGTATCCAAGCTCTATTTTGAGTGTTACTATTTTGGGCAACCATAAAATGCACTGCATATTTTATGGGTGTATTTTTGGAGTACAGGAAATTGAAACCTGATTCTATATAGACCATCATTATAAATATTTGTACTGAATAAAATATCTTTAGTCTAAGAATCTCAGAGTAGCTACAGCAAACATTAACAAGACAGCATCTGTCTTTAAGGTTGGGAAGGAAAGGAGCACGTAAACTGATTTGCCTAAGATAAGTCATATTTGTGAGCTACAGCATCTCAAAGAATTATCCATTTATTTTGGATCAAGCACACAAATTTCTCTGTAGTCAACCACAGTATGCTAGACAGAGATTGTGCCTTTTGTCTTTTGCAATAGCTATAAGAAAGAGGATAACTTTTATTCCAGCAGAAAGCCTGCTAATATAAACAAATAACCCATCAATTTTTTTTCAACTTATTCCATTTGGCACAATCCATTCATGCCAGATCAATACTTTGCATTAATCTAATACAACCCCTCAATGACAGGCCTGAAAAGGGAACCAAAGTTTGTCATAACAATTGTTTTGACAGGCCACAGACATATTTGTTGCTGATTATATTTCTCTGTCACAACTCTTCCTCTGCACTCACAGAATGAACAAAAAAAAAAGCATTCTCAAATAGGATCAAAAGCTAGAGACATTTTGTTTGATTCCCCACATTAAAAATAAAAAAACCATAAATAAATGGTGCTAGCTAGTTGTGCTTACAGACCACATGAATGTGAGCCAATATAATTCTTGAAAACTCTGGAAGTAATGTTTGAAGTAATGAGAATTGTTGAGCAAGGCAACAATTCTGGTAGCTGCAGATTAAGTGGTCAAAGTCAGCCAAGTCCTCCTTACAGTGAATCTGAAGGATGGTCCTCAGCCTGGAAAAGTTCGACTACCTTGGAACACACTAGCTGTGTATCCAAGTGATGTCATTGGAGAGATTCCTTAGATGTGTAGAAGATATGGACTCTCCTGCCACAGCATATAGCTGGAAAAACCCAAATAATCCAGGGAGAAGGATAGATACATGACATTCTTCTGAGACAGTTTCAGGGCAGAGATGGAGCATGATTTCCCAGCCATCTCATCTGCCCTCGATTTGAGGGAGCAAACCCTAGAGAAGGCAGCCTAATGCAGTCCAGCCCTGACCCTTGCCACTCAAGTGTTGGTATTAATGCTTCTGATATTGAGCTCATGGTTTATTTTGGGAAAAAAAAAACCCAAATGTCATTCAGCAATTGTCAGTTTGGTCTCTGTGCTTACAGGACAGCCACAGCATGGCACATATGCATCTGCTTTCAGATCTTACTACAATGTTCATCAGGATATATTTTGTGAAGCAAATGTATTCTCTCCACAGAAATTTAAAAAAAAAAAAAAAAAAGGCAAAATCCATGTATTTCTCTGTTCTCTCCTTAAGGTTGCTTTGTTGGGCTAAATATCCCTGAGCTTTCAGCTAGAACACAGTGCCTTTTCATCACAAGGAATTACAGGAAACAGAGTCACGTTTTTCTTAAAAAAGCATATTAATTTATAATTACTGTCTATTACCTGGTATGCACAATATACATTACAGTCATTTGTAATGTACTGCTTTCCTAATTTCCATCATACTTTACTGCATCTGAAATCCACTTAATATAAGTCTAAAATTATTTTGTTCAGTTATGCCCAAAGCCAGGTTTTGCCATGTATTTTGCATTATGTGCCTATTTGATAATCTGCGTATTTTTTAAATTTTAATTTGCAAATCTGCTGACTGTGTGGCTGTACACTTATATCCCACGTGCACTTATATCCCAGGTGCCAGCATGGACTGTATCTCTTCTTACAGGATCAAAACAGAGAGGAAAGATCACAAAGAGACTTCAAAGAACATTTAACTGCTATATTTAGACACTGCTATGATGATAGTTCTGTGACTCCATATTTGCTCTGTGTGAGCAACTGGGAATGTAAAGCCAGTCTGATGCTTTTCCACAAAAAAGAAAAGTATGCAATTATTGCTGTTTATTCTGATATTCTGCCTGGACAGCTGGGTATTATAATGGGGCAGTTACCAAGCAGAACAATGTTACTCAAGGTGTAACATCCACAAATCCCAGCAAGCTTTATGAAATTGGATAAATGTCATCACTCTTCCACAGATGAGGTGGAGTAAGCAGCAAAGAGCAGTACAGTGACTTGTCCCTAGTCTCAGAGACATTGCAAGATGTATTAACTGGCCTTATATCTCTCAATGCTCTGACCAGAGCTTTTTCCCTGTGGCCCCCTTTTGTCGGAGTAAGAGCATCGGGACCATTTTACACTTCCCAGTTGCTCACCCAGCACAGATGCAGAGCAAGGGCACTGTATCATCTTACCAGGCTCTAAACATAGCACTAAAATGTTCACTGGAGTGGCTGCATGAACATCTTTCCATTGATGTCAGCCAGTCAGGACAGAAGTGGTCCAGTCTGCCAACAGGAATATAAATTCTCCATTAAGTCCCATCATTAATCCTCATGCTAGGGAAGGTGCTCTCTTGCCTCAAAGCACTTAAAAATCAGTCTGTGTGCTGACTTCTGGAGTACTTAATAATTGTTCTCCTCTCTCTTATGACCCCAAAATATCAGTCAACTCTAAATCAGGTTCCTTTTAATTAAGTTCTCTTTTTTTTGTTGTTGTTCTTTTTCACTGGATTCTTACTTTTTAAAAAATAATGAAACCTAGTATCACACATTTTAATCATCCTGTGAAGTCTTCTTTCTTAAAGAATTATGATCAGGAGGATTAAATACATAACTATTACTTGAACAATTATTGTATTTTCTGTCCCATGTCCTTAAAGTATTTGAAAAACATTAATCAGAGGAAGCCCCCCAGCATGAAGTCTACATTTAAATAATTTTAAAAATCATCACCTAGAATATCACATCTGCTCCTAAGTTTCAGTGTTGATGTTTGTGATTTGACAGCCATGTTTTCCTATTTTTTTTTTTAATATTTTCCTCTCCCCTGTAGCTGTGTGAAAGGCTCTGGAAAAACAGGGGAAATAGATTATATATCCAGAGAAAACAGTGAAACACAGACAACTTAAATGGCCTGATTTTTCCCTTCCTTATTTTGCTGTAATACAGCCTTATGTCTGTGTGTGATGAAGATAGCATTTCCACTAACCTCAGTAAAGGAAAAAGAATTATCAATTTGGTGCAGATTATAGGAGATTCAGACCCACTGGGTAAGTTGAAGATGTTCCTGCTTATTGTAGGGGGGTTGGATCTGATGACTTTGAAGGTTCTTTCCAACCCAAACTGTTCTATGATCAGATGCAGATACTTATTTTTTTTCCTTTTTCCCTCCATGTTCTTCCTCTATGTCCTACATTGTTTTGCATAATCATCTGAACTGCTGTTTGTAAAACAGTTTTAGAAGCTGAAACAGTTGAGAAAAATGCTGGGGCTTTCATTCTTTGTTTTTTTGCGTATCTATACCGGTTGGATGGGTTTGAGAATCTTGTTCCCTAGTGCACAGACATGACCTATTTCTACGAAGAACAAGTTTGACCTTTTCTCATGATTATCCACTGCCTGATGGTATATTCATGAGTAAAAATAACTCCTTGCAAGCCTCCAGACATTAAGGAATATATAGGTTCTGAAATGGGTATACTAACACCAGCCCATATAGATAGCTCAGCTACGCAACAGCTGCTCATTCCTTTCCTTAAAATTTATCTGTTTTGCCATAAAACTTACTTTAAAGATGTGATAGCCTTCTCAAAAAAAATACTAAAATTTTGTGATGACCATTCTTAAATACTGGGAAAAATGGTGGGTTTATGCATTGAGCAGGGTAACATGAGAAAGCAGAATTCAGATTGCATGCACATCTGAACTCATGGTACTGTTTAGCCTATGTTTAAACAAGGGGAAAGTTAAAAGACTGCTGTAGAATTTAACTAACACATAAAGGTGGTTTTTATTGAGAGTTTAAATTAAGGAAATGCCATTTTACAATTTGCTTGGGGGTTTTGTGGTTTGGGGTTTTTTTTTGAAAAATCTTTTCCCAAGTCAAGTCATTTGGTAAGAAAATCCGCTTTCACTCTTTCTAATGGAGTAACTATCTGAGCAACTACCCTTGCGTTTGCAGACAAAAATCCTGGAGGCATGGTGCAAGATAAAAAGTGTTTGCCTGTTTATTGGGGCAGTTTAAAGAAACCATCATGCAGTTTTTTGGCTGAGCTGACCTTTGACGCAGGCCTGGACCTGTCCGTACCACTCCCCGCAGCTGTCGCAGAGCAGCGTGAACGCCGACTCCTTGTTGCCCATGGCATAGCCCTGGGCACAGACGTACAGCAGCTCGTCCCCCATGTCAAAGCCAGTGTGGCCATGCAGAATGGTGTGGGGGAAGGATGGTGGGTCCCCACAGGGCTTGTCTGGAAGGAAAAAAGAGATGACATTGTAAAGATTTCATAACAGTCCTTTAGTGCCATGCTAAGAGTTTTCCTGAGGATGAACGTATACACATCCACAGAACTTGTACATCTCATCTGTTTCATGCCTTTATGTCCTTTCACAATTATTTCCAGCTGTAATTGCCCATTACAGCTGGAAGGTATAAATTGGGCTATAATTGTGATGCCATTACCATGATGGTCTACTCCCGTGTCACTACCATCTGATGGTCATGCATTTAGAAGGGCCTTGTTTCAAACAAGGCAGGATGCCAGATCACAGCTGTCTTCCCTGCCTGATTCTACAAGAGCTAACAAGAGCTTGGGCAGGTTGGGACTGGAATGCAACAATTTGGACACAGTCATTTTTCTTAACCACAGAAATGCTTGTGGAATTGTTTAAGACCAGCACTTTGATCTCTTCCACACAGTAGGAAACAAGCAGAGGCTGAGCAATGGCCCAGTCCACACCCACAGAAAGAAGAGGTCCAGGTGAACACCAGGCAGTTTTCAGACTATCTCTAATCTTCTAATCTTTCTCAAATTAGGGGTCTTCCCAGGTATTCAAATCTCCCTTTTCAGAGTAGAGACACCCTAAAATAAATAGCGACTTGGGCTCATCAGCTTAAGAATACCCAGGGGTAACATAGCTCTGCTGTCTATGAGAATGTGAAAAGCTAAATTTATTGCAGGGTATAAAACTCAAAAAGATGTTTGATAGTGTTTTTGCTGACAGCATTAGAAGCCAGGAAGAAAAATTACTATGAACAAGATCAAAACTGGTTTTTGTTGCATTAAAGAAGTGTGGAGAGGAGGCAGGCTGACAGCTGACAGCTGCCACCACTAGTGTAAACTGAATTTTAACTCTCTTTTTCAGGTTTGAATGATCTTGGCCATTGCTAACAAGGTAGATCGAGATTTTCTAGAGAACATTTGAACATTGTGGATTCTCTTTCCTCGAAGACCTTCCTCTCTGACAAGAGCTCTTCACAAGGGGTTTGCCATATCCCTTTTTCCTCCATGTTTTTTACAGTCCTTTTTAGAATAGGTGCCTCTTGGTTACAGAAAAACAAAACAAACAAAGAAACAAAAAAAACCACCAAAACACAGATTTTACCAAGAAACCCAAGGACAAAGACTGCGGTGTTGGTACAAATTATCACTTCTATATTCTTTCTCAAATCTGGGAATTCTTCCCAGTGGCTCTAGAACCCTTATTGACTGTGTTAGAAAAAGCCAGCTGTTTCTCTTGCCAAAGTAACTGAAGATCCAAAATCTTCTTTTGTCCAGATACAGAACAACCAAAATTAAAAGGCTATGAGTTCTGGTAATTATATTGGATAAGAGAAACATGGGGCTAGGTCTGTGTTTTAGTATTGATCTCTCCTGTTGAAATAGTTTGCTTTGGTAAAAAAACTTGATTGTTTTAACTGGTAAAGCAAAGATGATGTTCCTTGAAAAGACTTTTGTTTGGAAGCTGAAAAGACACAAAGACTATGTTCCTAAACATGCAGAAGAAGAAACATCTTCAAAGAGCACCCTTGCTATTTTGCTAGAGTCTACTTTTAGGGCATCATCACCACAAGATCTTGCAAGACAAGTGTTTCATTGACACCAGTTAATGTCCAGGGTTTTTCAATGGGCAATAGGCTTGACAGAAAAGCTTTCTCAATCTCCCCTCTGCAAAAATTCAGGCTTTCCTCTTTTGCCCAGGGACATTCTGCAAAATACTTGTGAGTCTCAGGCTGCAGCTTTCCCCATCATCTACCCACTTCTGACTCAGGCATAGGTAAATACATGCTTATTTAGAAATATGATGTATTTATTTTGCCAGTCATTTACCTTGTAGTGAAATGAAAATCCTATGATAAACATCTTCACTCTGTGAAAATTCCTTTGGATCAGGCTTTTGGAAATTATCTGAGAGACCTGACTAACCACTTCTCAACTGGGTATGCTGAAAAATATCTGCCACTAATATAAAGGACATGCTACTAAAATCAAACTTTGAAGCTTGTTCTCTGTACTGTACACACACAGAGGCACATATATATATATATATACTGTCTAACACCTTCAGAAGTTAGTGGGAGTTATGCACACACACACTGACAGAAAAAACAAGCTTTTGAGGCTACACAAAGCTCAGTTTATATAGAATCTTATGGAGGTTTGACATCCGAGGAAGTGAGGAGCAGTTAGCAGCTAATGCTTTTCCTGTGAACTGGCCGAATGAACAGAGATTGATGTGGATGAAAGGTATAAAAAATTATTTTATTGCCTCATAGGAAGGCTACAGAGCCTGGCATTTCATGTGCTTTATTTATGTAGCTACTTCCATCCCCACAAATGGGAGCTGTGTATCTGTTCTGAGGGAAGTATTGATCCCAAGGCTGTATGGAACAATTATACATCAGAGAGTATTCTTATCTACAAAGCCTTGCTTCTTGATCCTGTTGCCAGAGGAAGCAGAAAAGCAACACATTAGTTAACCATGGCAAACATATTCAAAAAGAACATTGTAACCTTACGGGAAAGAAGAAAGCTGAAGGGATCTTTACAGTAAAATTTGACAACAGACTCGGTAACAGAATTATGAACCCCTGAAAGAGAGCTCTGGCTGATGCATGAACAGAAAGAAAAGCAGAGATTTTAAAGATGTTCATGGACTGACACTGTGTGGGGAACTCTTGACTCTCTCCCATGAGACTTTGTACAATCATGCCTTTGCTGCAGAACATACTGAGTGACAGCATGGACAAGCATAAGTGAAAGCTGATACACTGCAAAGACAAACTCAAGTTCCTACATTCATTTTGCTGCTGTCCTCTCCTGCATAAAATGTGCAGGAATTTTCCAGGTTATAGCATCTTATGGCTCCTCGTCCTGCTGCAGTCTCAGTTGCTATGACAATTCCTGCTCAGCCTTTTGCCAAACCTGTTCTTTCTGGCACACGTACAGAAATGACACTGGCACAGCAACTCATCACACTGAGCCACTTCTGGGGACAGGCTTCATGTTTTTGTGTGCAGCCTTTGTACCAGGGGCTGGAAGAGCATGGGCCTATTTGGAGCAACAGTGTGTGCTCAATGCTGTCATTGAGGCCATTTTCTTGCTGGAAGAGAGGAGGCAGATCAGGGCCACGGAGCGTGACAGAGGGTGTGTTGGCAGCAGCTTGTCATGCAGAGGAACAGTAGTGCTCTTTGTTAAGGTGACCACAGGGGCTGCCTGCAGTGCTGCTGTTGGGTAGATGAGGGCTGGGCTCCTCCATCCATCTGGAGCACTGATTTTTCCTTCATCTATCCTCCCATAAACCTGCATATTTTCTTGCTACTGGCTGAAAAATTAGCCCAACTCATGGTTCCCAGTAAAAAAGCTGGATCTGCTTGATACTTAAGGGCCATCCAGCAGAACATCAAGCAGGTCCCATGCTTGGCTTGCTTATGTCTAAGACCATATCTTAAACCTGAACACTTGGAATTGGTTTCTGGACATCATGAGCCTTCCAGAATTTTCTACATGTTGACACTGAGGTCAAACAGATAAGAGGCCTCCATATGTTGATAATTGACCTCCAGTAAGAGAGGTTGGATTGGCCTTCAGAGCAAGACAGCACAGCACAGATATAAGGAAATTAGTTAAAGTTCACAGGACATCCTCACATCAGCAGTAATTTGGCACAGATTGTGTCCTGGAGTGAAAGTCACCACTGCAGTCAAGAAAGATCTCAATATACACATGCAGAAATCAGAACAGAGTCAACACCTGGTAAATGCATGGGAATAAGCGGCACAGCAAAGATATACATGGGTGTTGAGCACAGATATATTAGAGCTAGTGACAGCTGTGGTTACAGACCTCTTAGAGACTCAGCAACTATTTTATACATGAGACTAAAGAGCTCTCCTGTTAATTGAGTTAGCACATTCAGTAATGATTGGCTTTTAGGAAAAATATCTCCTCAGAATAGTAACTTTAAACCCAGAACACATGTGGAAAGGATTTTGAGACAGGTGATTTCTGGCAAAGAGTTGGCGCGTGTCATTTTAAGAACACAGCAATTTCTCCTCCCCAGTCCAGATTACACCAGAAGCATCTCCTTTATTTGAACTATAAGCATCCCACTAGTCTGTAAAGCTTTTTTTTGAGATGTCTTGATAAAATGCTGTCTACAGAAAGGATAGCCTAAGGTCAATACAAAAAAACTAACATGAAGAAGATGCAGACTTCAGCTTCCGCCCCACCTGGCAGAACCAGGAATTTACTGAAATCTGATTATCTAGAAATGCTGCTTTAACTGTGCACCACACTCTGAAAGCTGACATGAGACATCCCCTTTGACATAAAACATCTCCCATTACAACCACTCAATTCAGTGGAGTTTTTCCAGAGAGGCCGCTGGAATTTTTAGGATGTCATCTTGTCATTAAGAAATTAGAAAATGGAACTCCTAGCAGTCAGACCTGTGTATGAGATGAGTGAGGGTGTTTATTTTGCTTCTTGATTGCAGAGACCCTAAAGTATACAGAATTTTTCTGTTTGGATAGAAGTACTGAGTATGATGAATAAAAACTCAATTATAGCCAAGGTAAATGATGCTTGTAAGCTACCAGTGCTAGGATGCCAATGCCTCTTACATCAGACAGGACTTGTGAGACTTTTTTGGTTTAAGTGGCATTACCAGAGAAGTGGTTTTAACTGTCAGCTATATGCAAAGCCATGAAAAATAAAGCTGTAGCACTAAAAAAAAAAATTATATCTACAACAAAGCATGACAAATACAAAGAAATAGTTCAAATATTACACAAAGCAAACTACAGTTTGATTGTTCTTGTAAAGTGCCCTTAATAAATTTGCTGTAAAGATTACACTGATTTCTTTTTTTCTTACTGCTGAAAAAGGTAAGAAAACTAACTAAAATTTGTACATAAGCCATCAAGCTTTGATGGATATCTGGAGCCAGCAGTCATATTTTAAAAAGTTTGATTTGCATTTATGCTGTACTCTACTACAAGTTGCTGCCTGTTTAGTTTTCCTGTGGTAGCAGCAAATCAAAGCCTTATGGAGCAGATCTTATTTGTTGCCTGTAAATAACAGTGGGTCACTGAAAGAGAGAACCAGTAAAACCTGGGGGTTATTAACAAAGAGATCTCTCCTTTGCTGCAGTAAAAAAATAAGAAAGAAAACTAAAAGGATTGTATATATTCATATGGAATTGAATGGTATGTATTATTACAAAAAAATAAGGCAAGAAAAATTCCAGTTTTCTGGTTTTCTTGCTTTACCCACTTTATACTTTAAGGTATTTTCTTATGAACTCTGATAGAGATACACACTCTGTGTGCCAGATCTAACTTAGGTGTGATACTGCATTTTCAGAATTGGCTGAAATCTAATATATTTTTAGATATTTTTTGGCACTCAGGGCCTAAAAGGGAAACGTTCTCAGCTGATCCTGAGCTGGTAAGGAGTTGTCTTGCTGACTCTAATGGCTGCATAAAACATGTGTTTATGAGAAGCTGAGAAGACACATTTCTCTGTACTGTGCAAACTGCAGCTATGCTCAGAGCATTCATAAAACATTACAGCTTCATCTTTCCTTGTCAAACAGAGCCCTCAGATTCAATTCCCCGTAAAAGATAACTCTTAGTCTCAACAATTGCTGTGATTCTTCTGTGTGTACAGATCAAAATCCATTTCAGAAACAAATAAAAAAATTGTCTCTCTCTTCAGGACTTCTATTTGGAAAAGCCTGATGCTGTGAGCACATCCAGAGATCTTGCTAGCATCTGACTGCTGCCCTGGTGTAGTGGCATGCTGAGATGTGTGCTTAAGGAATTTGACTCCACTCACGTGCATGGGAAAGGTTAATTTAGCAAAGATTAGTCATAAATCAAGGGATAAGAAGTCAATTTGGTTTGTACTAGAACTTTCATGGTGTTTTGAGATGCATTCTGCACAGTCCTAAGAACTGAAGATAGAGTTGCAGGGTGTTATTAATGTCAGCTTAGTTTCTGAAGTAGAGGTTGATGTGACTGTTCCCTCTCTGTTTTCAACCTACCAGTCTGTCTGAGCCTTTGGCTCTTCTCAGCCAAGTCTGACAAAGAAGGAAAGCTGCTGTCTGCTCATTATTAGTTGGGTGGATGTAAAAGAAATGAAAGGGCTTGAAGAAATTAATATAGATCTCAGTGTAAGAAACCTGGGATTTATAACTTTCAGCAGGGCAAAACAACTTGCCTTTTGCACTTAACTATAATGTATTTCTATATTATAATTGTAAATGTATAGATAAAAAGAGATGTCCACTTTTCTAAGACTAAAAAAAATATTCATGAGGTTTCAAGTAAGAAAACAACTTATTAATCCAAACTTAGATGTGTATTTATTAGCCACATGTACATAAGATCAGAACAGATATGCTCTGTGTGAGGTTGTGGTGCAGAGTTTACTCTTGCTGCTTCTTACTGGATATTTGCTAAAACTGGAAGTGGCATCCCTGAGGATGTTCTTTCATCAGTCAACAGCTCTGTGCTGCCTTGTGTGTCACCGTTGTAACGTTAAGGCCATTTCCTTTCCAGATTTTGCTCTCTTTATACCAGCTACAAACCAGGCTCTGCCACACAACCTCACTTAAGTCTTCCTGTTCAAACATCAGCTCTACATCCCATTTTTTTTATATATTTAAGGAAGAGGGAACCTTACAGTCATCCAGAAATGGTTCTGTGTGTAAGGGCTACTTGAGTGCATTGGGATGATCATCCCTTTCTGTCATCAGAAAATTCCCTGCCCCTTTACCATGAGCAGTAGCCAAACTCAAAAGGTAAACACAGCTCCTTTTCCAAGATCCAGCATTTCCAGGTGGAGCACGTGGGGACATGCCAGGGAGGACAAGGGCACAATGGAACAATCGTGGCCAGAGCAATGATTTCAGCATCTCACAGCTGTCCCAACCCACTGCAAGGTTTTTCTCAAGGGGGGGGATGATGACAAAAGAGATTTGAAGGAAGACAATGAGAGAGTTTTGCAGATGTTTACAGGGAGCTGGTCCTATGTGTGAGGAGCAGCATGGAGACAGCACAAAGGTGCTTGTGTGACCACATTAGCAACTGGGTGACAGAGTTGGCATCGCTCACAGCAGCACGGAGCCTGGAGTTGATATCACAAGGGTTACTTGAGAGGATGGTCAAACTCTGGTAAAATCATTCTTTCTAAAAAGAACAATTTGGTCATGCATCACCTCTGCCACATTTCACTTCAACCATATTTTCATCCCCACTCCTGCCACTGACAGCTTATCAGAATGACCCCCCTGTGCTGTGAACTTACTGTTTCTCAGTAAATGCCATCAGCTTACCCTTGCTTTTCTTGGAAATCAGATGCAAAAACTCACTGCAGACATCAACAATCTGTTTCAGGGGTTCCCAAATTTCTTTATGCAATCCTGCCTATCAGTAACAATTTACTTTTTGCCTCCAGAATTCATATTTGTTTGTGGGTTCTGGAACTTAAATATTGAAAAATTTAAGCACCAATGTACATTGGAAATAATTTGGTTTTCAGAATCATCTGGGATATATCAGCGTCCCTAGCAGCCTTATCTACACTTGTTAAAAAACACCAAAACCAAACCAAATTTAAACTAAAATGGAGGCAATGAAGTTATTTGCATACAAATGTTGTGTACTGACATACAACAGGGTGGTGTGTTGCAGCTGGAAACCAGCTTGCTGAGTTACAGTCAGCTACAGTGCTGAGTAAGGGACATGCTTCAGCCATCTCCATTAGATTGCTGTCAGATATATTCCTTCCCATAAAGTATGTTCTGTGAGCACCAAAATGGGTTCTGCCAGATCAGTAGTGCTGTTTGAACTCACTAAACTGCAGGAAAGACAAAAGACAACACAATTTATTTGCTGCAATCAATGTCTTTGCAGCAGTTGCCTCTCATAGTGGGTGATTACTACAAAGATTTATCCCTTAACATTCCCCCTTTCTCTCTCAGCAGCAGAAAAATTGAAGGCAAAACTTTTAATGTTGCAAGACAGTGATGACTCTGTGTTATTTCAGAAGTATATCAGTGCTGACCTTCATCCTTTACACAAAAAGCATCATATTGGTCATTCACAAAGGGATCGGTTTCAATTTTAACATCAATGGCTTTCACGCTCTGCTGTTTGCTGCCCGTCTTTCTGCATATAATTGTCCTAAAATAAAGAAGAAGAAGAAAACAATAATCAGAAATCTTCTGGAGTTGTACATGCAGGTGAAATTTGGAGATTTTTTAATCAGAGTAGTCAAGCCTTAGCTGTTTCAGCATTGGCAGCATTGGTAGTAGTGTGGGAAGATCTATGAAAAAAAGCCAAGGGAGAAATAGAAGTAATTAGAAAAATGTTTGCTGTAGATCAGTTCAAGGCATAGGGAGCAATAAAGGATGTTTATCTTATTATGTTCTGTAATACTTCTAAATATCAGACCTATACCCAGAGTAATTAAGTCAATATTTTGCTCTCACAGTTCAGCAATATATATTCCCAATGATGGCACCTGGATAGAAATGAATAGGAAACTCAAGATTTGATCTGAAATTTTATAAATCATTAGCATTTACATTAAAGAACCATTAAGGTTGTATATTTAACTGCTCAAAAGCTAACACAGGAAAACTTACTTAGAAAATTCAGCTTGGATTCTTGGAAGAAAAACGGCTGTTTTTTTTTTTATAGCAATTTCATGCTTTTGAGTAAACCCCATTTCTTCTGGTTTGGTACTCAGCAGTACCTAATCCATCCTGTTGCCCCTGATAGGCTTGAAGAAAGGTATTAGATCTGTATTGAGTTTTACAAGCCTGTAGATGCTGATGATGAAGAGTTTACTAATTACCTCTTCTCTCAGCTGTACTGGCTGCTTAAAACTAGCAAATGGAAGAGAATTTGTTGTAGAAAACATTGATTTTACTGTTAGATTGAAGGTTACAAAGGCTGGGAAAGTAATTTCAGAGCAAATTTTTGCAGCTAGATATTAATGGCATGGATTTATATTTTTGTGGACAGCAAGCTTGTAGACGTGTTGCACAGTCAGCTATTCTAGTGAAAGGAAGATAAAAACACTTTCCACAGAACAAATCCTTCCAGTGGAGGAAATTTATAATTTTGTATTTTGCAATGGTTGAACTAATGTGCCATCAGTCCTCCACTAAATTTGAGGAATAAAATAAGATGGAATAAAATCCAATAATACAAAAGACCCCAAAAGAAAGTAAACAAAATGCCCATTCATTGAGAGTGAAAAAGATCCAGTGGAAACCCAGTATTTGATCATGAACTTCAATGTTATATAGAGATTTACAGAAATAGGCTGAATTATGGTTGTACAGACTATTTTCCTTTGGGCACATGTTAGCTTTTGAGTAGTTAAATATGTAACTTTACTGTTCTTTTAATATAAACAAACAGAGGCAACATGAAAGGAGCCGTATGGTGCTGGTCACGCATATGCACCAGAATGGTTCCTGCCACACTTCTTCTCCGGAAAACAACATGATGTCATTCCCTGCTGAAAGCCCCTTTACTTGATTTAAAACCAAATTTGTTTCCTTTGTATAGAAAGTTCCACTTGATTTTTTGAGGGGAAAAAAAATCCTTTCAAAAAAGTCCCTTTTTAAAGACAATATTGTCTCCACAAATTTTAAATCCAGTTCTCTCATAATTTAATGGATTTAAAGTCTGAGACCTCTAAGTCAGTAATTAAGCACTTAGACAAAAGCAACTTGACCTGCTAAAATAAGTTCAGATGAGTGGGAGGATCAGGACATCAATTAAAAATTTTCTATATGTATATAATATTCACATATTGTTCCAGTGGGTCTTACAAGGTCTAAGAGAATGAGACACTTACGCTTCCCTTCAAAAATAAGCTCATCAACCTTAATCTTTCCAATAATTACTCAGTTGCCTAGATATCTGGATCAGTTATGTCTTGCAACACTAAATAAACAAATAATTATATGACTGCAAAAAAAAAGTGCTTTTTGTCTGTAATTTTGTACTTTAGGCTTCAAGCTTTCTCTTTCTCTCAAAAAAACCCCAAAAAACAAAAAAAACAACCAAAAAACCAAAAACCAACAAAAGAAAACAAATTTGTTTTGAAGACTGTCACCAACACAAAATTCTGGTCTCTGAAAATCAGTCCAGACTCATTTCTATGTTCTATCAAAGACTAAAATTCCTGAGACTTGGAAGACATTTTTGAAATTCTCGTCTTGAATTTTCTGATTTCTAATTCCAATTTCTATGTTTATGTATTTTGCTTCTGCCCAAAACACTGTAATTTCTTTATCAGTTCTTCATCAGGCTACAGAGTTATCTGTGGGTGACACATCCTTGGTACAATGAGGTCATTGCCAAAACAGGATACCTTCATGAGTAATATGGCATATTTAAAGTGCTAGTTTTCTCACCTTTTGTTTTCAAATATTGTACAATAAATTGCAGGTTTGTAGTTGATAGACTTTAGCAGATAGCTAATTCATTTTAAGAACCTTTCTCAGGTGCTATCCAGTGTGACCAAACTTAAAAAGGTGTACCTTGCATTTAGTTTCAACATTATACATAAAGAAAGGCTTTAAATTAAGATCTTTTATGTGTATTTACATGTATCTGCTACTTAGGACTTTAATTTGGATTTTTGTCATATCAAAATTTATCTGATTAAACTGCAAACATCCTAATGCAATTCTTCTGAAATGAAAGAAATCTTGCCTTGTACACAAGAGACAGTTCTGGGCCAACGATTGGACTTGATTATCTCAGATGTCTTTTCATACCTTAATGATTCTGTGATTCTAAAAAACTGAAGGAAGAAAAAATCCATTTAATCTCTTTCATTCCGTCTTCTCTGACAGTGGTTTCCCACTTCAAGCTCAGTCCTGCAAGCTTTAAACACCTTCAGTAAGCTGCTATTGCTGCTGATATCTACTGCTTCAAGAGCACTCAGCATTTCTCAGTAGCGAGTCGATCAGACCTGCAATGCCTATGGCATAGAAATAGTCTCTTTGCAGTCAGTAGGATTTCAGGTATGACTAAAAATACACACTAACAGTCTATTTTCTGAGCTCTTGAGGGTTAAAATCTTAAATCCTAAAATGCTAGCTTTTAATCTATAATTAGAGCTGAAATACACAGGTACACTTTTGTCACAGTTCTAAAAGGTGGAATGTGACGCTTTTAAATTTGTTACAATTTTCATGACTGAAAAATGGCTACCAATTCAGAATTCATCATATCTTGAAATTTCTTCAGCAGCAGTACAGCTGTTCTGAAATAAGAGACAAAAATATTGTACAGCAGTTCTACTCTTTCCAGCACCCTGCTGAGAGGTGTTGCTGCCTGGTTTGTTTCTTGACTGTTTTGAATTATTACCCTGGGGTGTGCATCATGGCTGAGAGAATGTCACAAACTTTGTACTTTTTAAGGGATACATCCACCTACACAGCCATTCAGAAGAATGCAGTCATGCAAGTTTAATTCTATTTATGGATAATTTCATGCATTAATTGAACTTGAGCTCATTTCTCAGCATATAATGTTGTCTGATGCTCAGAGCAGTGTAATGCTTGATTTTGTGCCTTTTAGTTAAGAAACAGATTTGATTTCATTTTCCTTCTGTGGAGATTTCTGATGAAGGCAGGCGTGCTCAGAAGAAACATACTGAGTTCGTACAGCATATCACCCATAACATTGTCTGTGATCCAAATCTGCCTGGAACATCTGTGCATCCCTGAAAATTACTCTTACATGGCCATGAACTCACAAGTTCAGCATAAAAACCAATCAGAAACACTATCACCATAGACCATGAATGTACCACATATTATCCAGTAAGATAAAGACATGGTTGGTGGTGTTGACAGCAGCCCCTGCTCTCTGATGAAAAATTGGAAGGTGCCTAAAGGTGTCTCCATTGTTTCCTTGACAAACTACTGAGAATCTTCTTAGTCTACTGCTACCCAGCTCAGAAGGACAAACTGCTTCACAATGCCTCTTCTCTCCCAAAAGAGAAAACAAGGGACCAGGGATTCTGCACTGTGTTGAACCTCAGCTTAACTCCTGCTGTACAATATGGTTCATCCAACTAAGAACAAGTAACAGTCCTTCTTCTGTGCCCACCTTGGAAAGAGCTTGGCCAATCTGATCATTGTTTTCCTGTGCCATGACTCAGATATTGCAGATATCATGTGCACACACAGAGAGGAATTCTAATATGTAGCACAGTAAAGTATGAACCAGACTTCCCAGAAGCCTTCTGCTTACTCTTGTGCTGCTTAATTTTTTTTCTAATGTATTATGTAATGAATGAGTAACTGGTATATTTTGCTCCACTCTCAAAGATGGAAATAGCAGAAAAGCTGGCGTGAACAGTACTTATTTTACAATATGCCATAACATGCCATAATATAATACATATTAATAAATATATGATAAATATAGGCTTGAACTGTTGTAATTATAGTTAATGTCATAAATTTTATGTATGTATGTATGTATGTATGTATGTATGTATGTATAATAAAGGAATTTTTAATAAAGACATAGTATTTTTATATAAATGATAACTCTTTATAGCAGTATCCACTGATAATTTTGCTTTCTAAGAAAATTACAAGGCAATTTTGTAATACTTGAAAATGTTTCAGTGAGTCCAAGTTAAAACATATGGATTTGACAGCTGAGTTTATATGATAAAGTGTGATCCATCAGAAAACAGTAGGTGGGACATTTTTTGTAGTTGCTACTTTATCCACCAGTTGATTTTAGGTTTTGTAGTCTTAGTCAATAAATTCACTGAACTGAAATTCACTGAACTGAGTCAGAATGGTCTTATGACATTGATTCATAGTAGTATGAGCTTGCAATATATTCAGCTCAGAAGAACATCAGGAACAACGTGGTTGTTGAGGCACTGTGAAAGTCTGGTTGATAACACACTATGAGAAACCTTCCCCTAATTAGAAAGTTAAAAACTTCATCACTTTTCTTAGTCAAGATAAATCTCTAACATGTTGTGCTTTTTTTTTTTTTTAATAGGTCAGCTTTACTGTTTGTGTTTCAGTAACTAGGTAAGAGAAAAAAACCAACAGTAGTCTGGGAGCCAAACTAGGAGGTTTTTATTCTTAGTCTTTCCCCTCTGTATTTTGGGAAACTGCATA